CTCTTTCATCGATGTTTCTAACTCTCTCTCTCTCTCTCTCTCTCTTCCTCTCTATAAAAAAATCAATAAAAATAGATTTTTTAAAAAATAATAAAAATAAAAAAGTAAAACAAAACAAAAATCCATTAGACTTGTTGAAATAAAGCCCTTGTACAAAAAGCTGCTAATTATGAAAAAAAAAAAATGACAAACCTTATTAAGACAAACTATTTCAAGAAGAACTCCAAATCCCAACAAAATTTTTAAAAATGCAAATCTAAACATGACTTTTTTGCTCACCAAATTAGCCAACTTTTTAATATATTTTTTAAAAATTAAAGATACCACTACATAGGGTTGGCATGCTTACACATGCTGGTAGGAGGGTGAAGTACTACAATTTTAAAGGACTGGGTATTAATGGGGTTTTTTTTCTCTATATTTTATGATGCTTTGACATCATGGGGCCCTGCTGGGCAGCAGTGTTCCTCTATGGGCTAACTAATTCCAAAAGATAATAAACTCACCCAGGAACATGGCTATCATATACAAACCAACCAATCCAAAGTCCAAACTCCAACCACCTCTTTTATCTAACTCTTACAGACCAAGCCAATATTTTCCCTGCCCTAAGTCACCCCAGGGCAAGGTATCAGACAACTAGAAATGACCTTATAGACCAGAGCCCACCAACGTTATTCAAACTACACAATCCCAAATTTGCTCAAACTATGCCTTGCTCAAACTGCTGCCCCATCTATTCCTTCCCATGGAAACCAAAATAAAGGCTCTGAGCCATGCTCTCCCTGAGCTTCTGCTCCCCATGTGACCCTTTATAGTGCAAACATACTCACCTCTCTTGGGAACTGCAAATAACAAAAACTCTTCTTTCAAAGGGAATATATCTTTGTGTCTATAACCTTACCATATCTGACTAAAACAAATCCAGTGTATATTTCAAGACATATGATCGTGTGACAACAAAAGCCTTAAAATTCTGTATACTCTTTAACCAAGCCAATTTCACTACTAAGAATTTATCCTAAAGTAGTAATCATGGATATATGTAAAAATTTAGTTGCAAGAATGTTAACTGTAATATTAGCTAAAATTCCAGAAACAAGCCAGTACCTAACAATTTAAAATGACAAAAACAATTATGAAATATCTATAGAAGTTTCAAGATGTAACTTGAAAGATAACATAAATTTTATAAAAACTACCAGGAATAAATATTTCCTAAGCATCTTTTATTCTCTCAGCATAGTAAAAGATGGAATGGAATATTTCCCAATTTATTTTTAACAGGCTAGTATAATCAAGATACAAAAAAAAAAACAAAAAAAAAACACCCACCCTAGCTGGTTTGGCTCAGCGAATAGAACATTGGCCTGTGGACTGAAGGGTCCCAAGTTCAATTCCAGTCAAGGGCACATGCTCAGGTTGTGGGCTTGATCCCCAGTGTGGGGCATGCAGGAGGCAGCTGATTGTTTCTATCTCTCTCTACTTCTCCCTTCCTCTCTGAAACCAATAAAAATGTATATTTTTAAAGATACAAAAAACCAAGGTAGTATCAAAATAGAAAACTATAGGCCAATCTCACTTATGAATACAATGACCCCCAAAAAATGTTTTAAACATTAGTAAGTCAAATCTAACTATATACTAGAACAATCCACCACAACCAAGTTAAGTTTATCCCAATTATACAAAATCTGTCCATTAATATAATCAATTTGTCAAGCAAATAAAAGACCTACCGTATTTTTCGGACCATAAGACGCTCCGGACCATAAGACGCACCAGTTTTTAGAGAAGGGAAATGAAGAAAAAAAGATTCTGAAACAAATAGTGTCCTAAAATATTTTATGTGCATTAAAACCCAACATCACAATCATAAACACATGTAATCAACCCTGTAAAGTAAACAGCAGCATTTAGAACCATTTTAGAGCCGGGCAAGCACACACAGACCACACAGAGCTGGGCAAGTAAAAAAACTTTTTTTTTAAAGTATATGTGTAGGCTATATTTGGACCATAAGACGCAGGGACTTTTCCCCCCCACTTCTGGGGGGGAAAAAGTGCGTCTTATGGTCCAAAAAATACGGTAAAATAATTTCAGTAAATTACAAAGGGGGGAAAAAAAGTAAAGCAATTAAAAAGGAAATAGCTATGAGAAACAAAGAGTGTCCAATATTAGCATGATCCATGTTCCTAAAGTAGAGAACCCAACAAATGGAATTAACAGGAGATTAAAAGAAAAAAACAACAACAAAAGATCCAAAGATAGCCAAAACCAGTTTGGCTCAGTGGATAGAGCATCGTCGGCCTACAGACTGAAAGGTCCCAGGTTCGATTCCAGTCAAGGGCATGTACCTTGGTTGCAGGCACATCCCCAGTAGGGGGTGTGCAAGAGGCAGCTGATCGATGTTTCTAACTCACTCTTCCTCTCTGTGAAAAATCAATAAATTAAAAAAAAAAAAGGAGCCTAATCCGGTTTGGCTCAGTGGATAGAGTGTCGGCCTGTGGACTGAATGGTCCCAGGTTCAATCCCAGTCAAAGCATGTACCTTGGTTGCGGGCACATCCCCAATAGGGGGTGTTCAAGAGGCAGCTAATCGATGATTCTCTCTCATCATTGTTTCTAACTCTCTATCCCTCCCTCTTCCTCTCTGTATAAAATCAATAAAATATATATTATTTTAAAAAATCCAAAGATTAAAATATTCTTTTTTTTTCTTTTTTAATGTACCTCAGGCATGAAACAACTCTGGCCACCGACACAGGCATCAAGTTAGGATGAACTAAGGACTATACATCTGCTTTGCCCCTGACTGATATAAGATCAACACCACCAATCAGGTGTCTCCTTGCCCATTGCCAGGGGTTTAAAGATAAAAATATTCTTAAACCAGAATTAAATCTTCAAGAAAAAAATAAAGATATGAGCAAACTGGTCCACACAGGAGGAAAGGAGAAAAGAGAAGGAGCCTGGATCTTCGGCAGCCTTGTACTGCTTTACTTCTGAACTTGCTACACACACAAAAACTAAACCCTTAACTTATTTAAGGGGTTGAATTTCCAATTGTTCTAAAACAGAAATATTCCTGCCTGATACAAAGTATATCAAAATGTAAATGTATCAAAGTATCAAATTTTAAACATACATAACCTTTAAAACAATTGATAGGGATTTATTGAGGGAAATCTATATATCCTATATAATAAAAGCATAATATGCAAATTGACAGAATGGCAGAACCGTGGGGGGGGGGAGGGTGGCTTGCAAGAAGGCGGCACCAGGCCAGCCAAGGCGTGTGCCAGTGGGCAGAGGAAGGGCAGGGTGATTGGGGGCAGCGGTGACCAGCAGTAGCAGAGGGGTGACCAGGGGGGCAGAGCCGGCCGCTCGCCAGCCACTGCGTCCCTGATTAGCCAGCCCAGCTGCCTCCTGCAGAGGCCAGACTGCAGCTTAGGCCCACTCCCTGCAGGCCTAAGCCATCAGTCAGATGTCCTCTGAGGGCTCCCAGTCTGCAAGAAGGCATAGACCAGGCTAAGGAACGCACCCCCCAAGTGCACAAATTTCTGTGCACATGGCCTCTAGTCTACATATAAAAGCCTAAGCAACTGTTATGATCAAATGACTAGAACAGGTCAACCAGTCGCTATGACACTTACTGACCACCAGGGGGAAGACACCATATGCCGGAGCTGCCCCATGGTGGTCAATGAACTCCCATAGGGGGAGCGCCACTCAGCAAGGAGCTGGGCTCACAGCTGGCAAACACAGAGGTGGTAGCGGGAGCCTCTCCCACCTCCACCGCAGGAGGATATCCTCCATGGACTCCCAGACTGCAAGAAGGCACGGGCCAGGCTGAGGGACACCCTCCCCCAGTGCACGAATGTTGTGCATCAGGCCTCTAGTTATTATAATAAAGTCATATGATAAACTACAGTTAAAACCAATGTTTTTCAAAAACTAACTTACAACAAAAGAAAATTTCACAACCTAATTAAAATAAAAACCGGAAAATTCAAAACCACACATGCAATATTATTAACTGCTTTAACATTTTTTTAAATATCTATTTTATTTATTTTTACAGAGAGGAAGGGAGAGAGAATTAGAAACATGGATCAGCTGCCTCCTGCAAATCCACTACTGGGGATGTGCCCACAATCAAGATACATGCCCTTGACCGGAATCAAACCTAGGACCCGTCAGTCCACAGGCTGATGCTCTATCCACTGAGGCAAAACGAATTTCAGCTGCTTTAAAATTTTTTATTTATAGATCTAAAGCATGACCAGAAATACTCTAAAATGACGGACGTAAGTATGGATTAACCCAGTTTTCATTATACTTCTTTGGACTTCATGAAACTTGGGGTTTTGCTTTAATTTTGCCCATTTTTAATGACATAAGAGTTTACTTAACTAAAAGTAGCCTGAGAGGCAGTTCAGTGAAATGAAAATAGTCATGGGGACCTGGATTCTGGGCAAATTATTAAACTAATATTTTAATTATGAAACAAAGTAATACCACCCTCAAAGAATTTGGAGGGTAAGATAATTAATGCATTTAAAGTGCTATAAGGCACATTTCTGGTAAAGATGTTTGTTATATGTCCTCCTAATTTATAAACTCAATCAATGAAGATTTGTGTGTTGGCTTTTAAAGGTATTTTTTAAATATATATATATTTTTAAGGTATTTTTAAAATATATATATTTTTATTGATTTCAGAGAGGAAGGAAGGGGAGGAGGGGGAGAGGGAGGAGAGGGGGGGAGGGGAAAAGAGAGAGAGAGAGAGAGAGAGAGAGAGAGAGAGAGAGAGAGAGAGAGAGAAACATCAATGATGAGGGGGAAAAATCAATGACTGGTTGTCTCCTACTTGGGATTGAGCCCACAACCTGGGTATGTGCCCTGACAGGGAATCAAACTGTTTATGACCTCCTGGTTCATAGGTTGAAGCTCAACCACTGAGTCATACTAGCTGGGCAAGGCTTCTTTCTTTCTTTCTGCACAGGGCAGGTAAGGAGAAGAGGAATTAAGGATGGTGGGCAGACTTAATGTCATCATTCCAAATTTTATCTAAATAAATACATACCTAAGAATAGATAAGAAAAATTCTGGAAAATGACAGGTTCCTGGCTCTTTAAAATACTAAAACCTTTGAACGTAGAAAGAAACAGTAATTTTGACCATGTAGTATGACACTAGAATAGATAAATCAATTGAACAAAATACAATCCAGAACTGGATAGTTGGCATATAATAAATGGTGACATTTCAAAATCAATGGAGAAAAATGGATTAATCAATATATGGCGCAAAAACATCTGACTAGCCATTTTAAAACAAAGCTGGATTCCTAACTCAATCCCTACATCAATGTATATAATGAATTAACCTCTCTCCTATGCGTCTAGAATGGTATTAGCTATATCAACTTTTGGATAACTTGGAAAATAGCCCAATTATTTTCTTTGTTCCATGGTTAAGATAAAGAACCCAGAGAAGTATAAAAAACCTAATCTGACTGCAATAAAGATCTCAAAATTACTACCTCCCATGAGGACAGGTGCCTTGTCTGACTTGTTCACAGTTCATAATCAAATCATATCTACCTAATAAAAGAGTAAGATGCTAACTGTCCATACTTTAGCATCGCCTACTAGGCAATCAGAAATATGCAAATTAATCCAACAAAGATGGCAAGTTAATTTGCATACACGGGCACCCAGCATCCAGGGTGGGAAGGCGGAAAGGCAGCTCAGGGCCAGAGGAAAGGCGGTGGGAGCAGCCAGGGAAAGGAAGGCCCATTCTGGCACGAACCTTCGTGCATTGGGTTTCTAGTACATTGAATAAATGAATAAGAAAATGGAGGCTACATCTATAGTCAGACAGTTTCTCTTCTACCTCAGAATGTTTTCTACCTTTCTCTCACTCATCCTTTTCTTTTTCCCTTCTGTTTTGAAGGATGAAATCTGTCTCTCAAGCTCCTGATCCCTCTTACCTGCTCTCAATTCCTCAGAGATCTTGGTATCTTTAAGCTCTCCCTTTCCATCAGCAATTCTTCCAGAATCTACAATTACTTAAATCTCTATCTTTAAAACATATACATACACAAGCACACACTTTGTCACAACTCTTTTCATCTCTCTCAAGTGAGTGCCCACTTGAGATGTGTATGTGTATCACCATGATTTTAAAATTTAGTCTATACATCTGTTTCTACCTATTTTACTTCTTCCTTACTGAAACTCTTCTTTGAGGTCCTGATGATCACTTAGTTGCTGATGACCAATTGCTTTCATCTGACTTCTCTGTAGCATTTAGTACTGATCATCTCCCTCCTCCTTCCAACTTGCCCTAATATTGACTTTTAACTAATTTTCCTCCTAACTCTCCATTTTAATGATTAATCATTGGTTTCCTCTTCCTCACCCAATTTGTTAGTTTTATCTGTGGCCTTCCTCACACCCTGCATTTTAAAAATATATATATTTTATTGATTTTCTTTTTCACAGAAAGGAAGGGAAAGGGAGAGTTAGAAACATCAATGAGAGAGAAACATCTAACAGCTGTGTCCTCCACACCCCCTACTGGGAATGTGCCTGCAACCAAGGTACATGCCCTTGACCGGAATTGAACCTGGGACCCTTCAGTCCACAGGCCAACGCTCTATCCACTGAGCCAAACCAGCTAAGGCTAGCCTGCACTTTTTTTTTTTTTTTTTTTTTTTTTTGCACTGGCATTGTGTATTGAACACTCCTCCCCACCCCACCCAGGATTCTTTGTACATTGCAATAAATAGTGCAATTTTAGCAGCAGGAAACAAGGAGCGTAGGAAGTCCCACCTCCTTCATGTATGTTTTATCCATGTGCACTCTTCCTAGGTAGCACCATTCTCCCCAGGTGCTGGGTGAGAGACAAATGGGGGTGGGGGTGGAGGGGAAGGGAGAGGTCTGAGCATGTGTGCTTGCCTTTTGGCCTCTGGAGGTGCCTGGAGGGTTCAGCAAACAGCCCTCTCCCACTCCTATGGCAGACTGCTCTTGCTCTAAGACATCCTAGAAAGGCAGGCCTGGTGAGGGAGAAACATGGTCACTGAGCCACAACCGGTGACTGGATCTTCCAGCTGACATCCTGCTGCCTGTCAACCTCCCTCCAACCTCTGGGGCTAAGGCTGTGTTCTCGGAGGCCTCATCCTTTTTTTTTTTTTTTTTTTTTTTTTTTTTTTTTTTTTTTTTTTTTTTTCAGAGAGGAAGGGAGAGGAAAGAGAGAGAGAGCTAGAAACATCGATGAAAGAGAGACATCGACCAGCTGCCTCCTGTACACCCCACACCAGGGATATGCCTGCAACCAATGTACATGCCCTTGACCGGAATCGAACCTGGGACCCTTCAGTCTGCAGACTGACGCTCTATCCACTGAGCCAAACCGGTTTCGGCAGGCCTCATTCTTTTAAAGGACAACGAGGCAAGGGAGAGGGTGAACAGACTGTTCATACAGAGGTGCTGCCCTCGCAGCCCCTCCTTCTGCATGAGTCTCCCTCTGCCTCTGGCACTCAGGTGGTGTTGGTCTGGACCAGCCACACAAGCTGGAGACATCAAGTATACAGACCCTCTCCCAGGCCACCTCCGGTTCCCGCACTCTGCACACTCACTGATGGCCCCTAAGAATCTCCAAATAACTGCATCAATTTACCTTGAGCCCCCCGATCCTGTGTGGGCAGTAACAGTGTTCCCGTGAGAGACCTCTCACACTATGGCTACGAGCTGGTCAGGAGGTTGGGGGAATGGGCCTCTTTCCCAGGAACCTGAATCAACGGCCAGCTCTTCGGCCACTTTACCCCAGAACCCCTAAATACTGCCTGAGCGCTCTGCAGAGGCCAGCTTGGAAACATGCGATCAAAAGCTCAGTGATATTCAACTAAAGGCAACGTCTTGATTGGCAGGTGTACTCCAGGGAAAAGAACAAAACGGGCATGAACAGCAGGAAAGGGAGAGAAGACAGAAGAGAAGCATAGCCTGCACTTTTGCTGTAAAGCTACCAACACAAGGCTTATCATGCAATAAGCATAAGCAATGAGCAGTGTTCATCCTGGATGATTTCTAAGCATCTGACTACACCACTGATTTCTTCCTTGAGCTCCAGGCCTGTATCCCCAGCTATCTAGTGGGTATCCCTGTGCCACTACTCCATATTAACATACCAAAACCAAATTTAACACTTTCTACTACTAAATCCTCCTTCCTACTGATTGCCTACACTGGTAAACTCCATCTACATTCTCAGAATCCTATTTCTCTCCTGCCTGCTCCTCAAACCAAATGCTCAGCAAGTTACTATTTTAACACCACAGTATTCCTAACATCTATTACCTGTATTTCCTTTTCTCCATTCCCATTGACATACATTATAATCCCATCATCTTTCCCAAACCACAGCAATAGCCTAACCAAACTCCTTAACTAGCCTTCTGCCTTAAAACCAAACCACAGGCAGCAAAGCTTTCCACCATTCAATCTTAACCCCCCTTTTCTAACTTGTCTCTAACACAAACCTCACCTCACACTGCATATACTCAATCCACACCCTGCGAAGATTCTCAACCTCCTCTAATGCCTTTCTCCAAGGCACCATTTCCACCTGTCAAACATTCTACACAACTCTAGGCTCTATTCAAATACAACTAGGATGCAGTGAGGGTAGAATGGAGGGTCCCTTTGTTAACCATACTTGAATGATTGAAGATGTTCCTGCTACATTTTGTCAAATATCGTGAATGGGGAAGAGTTTACCACATAATTCTAACTGCATGTTGTGCTCTTTCTTTCAATGAGTACCTATGGCTCATATTTATTTATCTAAGCACCGTGCTGGAGATGCTATCATCAGCCAGACAAATGCCCTTTCCTCATGGAACCTGTCTGTAATCACCACTAGATTTTATGCTCCATAAGGAGCACTGACTCTGCTACAACACACCACTTCTTTTTTTAATCCTCACCTGAGGTTATGTTTTGTTTTGTTTCAGGGAGGAGGGGGGATTTTAGAGAGAGGAAGGGGGAGAGAAACACTGATGTGACAGAGAAACATTGATCATCAATCAGCTGCCTCCTGTATGTGCACCACCCAGGGGTCAAACACACAAGATAGGTATGTATGTGCCTTGATCAGAAATCGAAACCACAATCTTCTGTGCATGGAATGATGCTCCAACCAACCAAGCCACCTGGCCAGGGCTCCACTGTTTAATCCCTAGTTTCCTGATCTGTAAAATGAAGGAAGACAACTATCTTTAGAATTTCTTTCAGTGCTATATCTCTGCATGTACTACTCTCTAAAGGTCACAATTACTTAGCAAAAATCAGGTACCACCAAAACTCATTGACAATTGGAATCTGTCTCAAAGAGAATCAAAAGAATGTTAAGTAGTTTCAAACATATGACAGGAGAAATAAGAATATTTAGGAAGGAAATAATGCTATCATCAAATTTCTTCAGACCAACAGGGAGAAGAATGCCTTAGATTTCCTCTGTGCAGTACTAGAGAAGAGAACTAAAACCGGTGGGTAGAAATTTTGGTGAGGCAAGTTTCCACTTAATTAAAAGATAAATAAAACATTAGAACTATTAAAAACTAGGAGGTAGTGAGTTCCTTCTCTCCAAAAACATCCAAACTGAAATCGGACTACCACTTGGAAGAGATTCAGGAATCTAAAGAGAAAAACAGAACAACTGTACCTTCCTTTATAGCTCTTCAAATAAAGGAAAACTATCTTCTATACTAGCTAGGCACCTCAGTTCACATTAGGGTACCTATTGGATGGACCTGGAGAGTATTTGCTAAGTAAAATAAGCCAGTCAGAGAAAGACAAATACCATATGATTTCATTTGTATGTGGAATCTAATGAACAAAATAAACTAACAAACGAAACAGACGCAGTCTTATACAGAAAACAGTCTGACAGCTAATAGAGGGGACGGGGGGGGGGGGGGGTGGATGGCTGGGTGAAAAAGGTGAAGTGATTAAGCAAAAAAAACAAAAACAAAACACAAATATAAAACCCTCATAGGCCGAAACCGGTTTGGCTCAGTGGATAGAGCGTCGGCCTGCGGACTGAAAGGTCCCAGGTTCGATTCCGGACAAGGGCATGTACATTGGTTCCGGGCACATTCCCAGTCGGGGGGTGTGCAGGGGGCAGCTGATCAATGTCTCGCTCTCATCGATGTTTCTAGCTCTCTATCCCTCTCTCTTTCTCTCTGTAAAAGCTCAATAAAATATATTTTAAAAAAAACAAAAACCCTCATACACACAGATAATAGTATGGTGAATACCAGAGAGGAGACTTAACTTAGGGTGGTAAACACACAATATACAGATGAATTATAGAATTGTACACCTGAAACCTATAATCGTATTAACCAATGTTACCCCAGTAAGTTCAATTAAAAAAAAAAATTTTAACCACAGTATTTTTATGTTTTGGATCAAGCACCTGCAAGTTTAGTGGTACATGGATTATTTTTTTTTATATAATATATTTTAATTGATTTTTTACAGAGAGGAAGGGAGAGAGATAGTGAGCTAGAAACGTCAATGAGAAACATCGACCAGCTGCCTCTTGCACACCCCCTACCGGGGATGTGCCTGCAACCAAGGCACATGCCCTTGACTGGAATCGAACCTGGGACCTTTCAGTCCGCAGGCCGACGCTCTACCACTGAGCCAAACCGGTTTCGGCTCATGGATTATTTTTTTAAATGGTGTTAAAATTGACTATTTGGAAGAAAAATTAGACCCCTATGTCACTACCAGATGTAGGCAGCTTCCCTCAGCAAACCATAAAACAGCTTTCCAGCAAGTTCTGCAAAACTGAACTCTGCCCTTCAAAGGGCCACAGGTGCACTCTCTCCAAAAAAGTCTGGATCTCAGTTCTGGGAATGGCCTTTTGAAGATCTAGCTACTGCTACCTTGGATGGTCTGACTCAGCCCTACAGGTAGTGACTGTTCTTTACACTTGCTATTTCTGTATTCTTTAGGGTTTTCTTTTTCTCTTAGGTAATTAGTTTAGTTAATAATCTTTATATCAAACTTCCTGTTTCAATTTTAAAATAAATTCCAGATAATATAAATGGTAAAACTATAAAATTGCTGAAAGTGAGGGCTTTAAAAAAAAAAAGTAAGTTGCCCTAGCTTAGTGGTCAGCAAACGAGTCACATGCGGCTCTTTGGCCTCTTGAGTTTTCAGCAAAGGCCAGCTTAGGAGTACCCTAATTAACTTAATAACAACGTATCTACTATATAGTTTAAGCTTAAAAAATTGGGCTCTCAAAAGAAATTTCAATCGTTGTATTGTTGATATTTGGCTCTGTTGAATAATGAGTTTGCCGACCACTGCCTAGCTGATTTGGCTCAGTGGATAGAGTTGGCCTGGGGACTGAAGGGTCCCAGGTTCAATTTCAGTCAAGAGCACATGTGTGGGTTAGGGGCTCATCCCAGTAGGAGACATGCAGGAGGCAGCCGATCAATGATTCTCCCTCATCATTGATGTTCCTCTCT